TGTCCAGCCTAAAATGGTCTTGGAATTGCCTACAGTACTGTGTACAATTTTGGTCCAGACCTGACACTTCAAAAAGGATGTGGATGATTTGGAAAGAGTCCAGCAGAGAGCGACAAAAATAATTAGAGGCTTGAGAAGTATGATTTATGAGGAAAGGCCGAAAGGATGAGGGGTATTTCATTTGGAGAAGGGAAGCTGCCAGGGGGGAGGTGTTGGAGATTGATAACAGTCTTCAAATACCTGAAGGGTGGTTATAGAAAGGATGGAGATGGACATTTTTCTATGACTGTAGAGTACAGAACTGGGAGCAATGGCCTCAAACTGCAGCAGGGAAAATTTAGGCTGGAGATTAGGAGCAACTTTATGGTTAGTATGGTCAAGCATCAGAACAGGTTATCCAGAGAAATTATAGAAACTTCATCTTTGGAAATTTTCAAGAATAGGTTAGACAGACATGGCTGGGATGGTTTAGCTAGGGATGATCCTGCCTTGAGCAGGGGGCTGGGACTAGATAACCTTATGAGGTCCCTTCCAACCCTACTTTCCTGTGACCCTAAGAAAAATGTAAGACTTTAGCAATATCCTGGCATCTCTAGCTGGCAAAATGGAAGCATTTAGTAGGCAGTAAGTAAAGTGTGGAAGCAAAGAGATGTGGCTGATGTTCTTATTGAGTAATCATGACAGAGCAAAATGTTCCTCATGTTTTTGCATGAAATTACAACTGTTTACTCTTGATCTATATCTAGGTCAAGTCTCTTTGCCACTGGGAACACAGTTGGGCTGTGATGTGTTCTAGATGTAATTTAATTTCATGTATATCCCATATGTTCTTAAGCAGCTTGTTAGAAGATCATTAAATTCACATTTAGTGACTAGTTTGTATAAACCATAGTAAGTGAGCAGTAAGCTCCTTGAGTGCTATACCTCTGTATATAAGGATGGTTATTACAGTTGTCTGTGTGATGCTGTATTCTCAGAGGACGGTGCTATAGAAATAAGAGTAATTATTATTGTTGTTCAAGTGCCTAAGGGCAATAGGGAGACTTTCTTCCCAAGCTGCAGAACAAAAATATACTGACAGCTTCTTTAAGATTTAATATGCTAAAAGGGCATGTCTACATGTGCGCATTTACTGTGGAGTAACCGAAATTACTATGCAGTACAGGCGCACGTCTTCACGTGCATGCCCGTACTGCACAGTAAATATGGTGACTTACACCAACTTGAGCTTAAATTTGAAGGTATCAAATTCACGCCCAGTTACTTACTGCACAGTAATGTATGTGTAGACGCCTTACTGCACAGTAACACTGTGTATGTGGACTTACTTGGGACTCACTTTAGTCCCAAGTGAGTCCACACACAGTGTTAGTGTGCTTTAATGCCTGTACATGTAGATGCTGGCCTATTCCTGCTTACTGTGCAGCAAATTTATGCCAGCATAAATGCACGTATGGACATGCCCAAAGAATATCCTAGATTCAGACTATAAGGCCTATTGGCATAATCATAAGGTTAATTTGTTTTGAGATCTAGAATGAAAGATTCATTCTTTTGAGGACAGCAAAACTGTAGGTGCCACACCTCTAAGTCATCTCCCCAAATTATATTTGGAGTTTAACATGCACTGTCTGCTTCCCTGGCTCCTTGAAAAACAGTCTCCAGCAGAAATGCAGAGTGCTGCTCTGCTTACTACCCTGTAAATGTGTTCAGATTGTTTTGCTACTAGACTTTAGCAAATGCTTTGCTAATTGGACATTTCCACATTAAAAGCCCATCCTGAAACCTAATGTTGAGTAAATAAGGGAATAAGATGTACCATTAAATATGGTCAATTAATGAATATGCTAGCAAGCTTGTGCTTCAGTGGACAGCACTTTAAATGTCTTTGAAAAGTATTTTAGGTGTGAAGCTTTTCCTGTTTCTGCTGGTAAAAAGCAGAAATTGAGATGCACAGATACAAGGGGAAAGAGAATTAGACTGTTTGTATTTTCCAAAACAATTATTGTAAATTAGATATCTGTATAATTAACTGTGACTGAACTTGAAAAGACCGAGTAAAGTATTCCTGCACATCACATCGTTCCATTCTGCTGGAGATTTAAATGACGATAACAATAGCTAGCTTGCATAGCGCTTTGTATCCATAGATCAAAGCACTTTGCAGAGGAAGTGCTCCCATATTAGAGGCAAGTAAAACTGAGGCTCAGGAAAGTAAAGTTAATTGCCCAGACTTATCAAGTGTGTCAGTGGTGGAGCTGGGAATAGAGATCATCTTGCTACAGTGCTGCAACCACTGGTCCACATTAACGCGAGTTTAAGTATATTCTTGGCGTTCACATATGTTCTTACGCTGAATTTGTCAGTTTGCCGTCCACCCTTACTCAGGTGAGCAGTTCTATTGACTCAAATGGGGCTACTCAGATGAGAGAGGACTACAGCATGCTGAATGATAGCATTCACCATGCCGTGATTGCTCTTCTTCACAACTCACACTCCTGATAGTTTCCCTACCCCCCTTGCTCTCCAAGAAACCCCCCCCCTCAATCTGTCTTCCAAGATTCCCCATCCTAATATTTTTTTCACCTCATTTCACAAATCTTTAGCAATCAACCTATCTATTAATCAAGCAGTATCATCCCCCTCATGTCTGGCAGTATATGCCTCCTTTACTCATTCACTCAATAATTCTTTCTGGCATGTGTTTTCAAAAGGCAGACCTGGATGCCCCAGGTAATGACCTTTGTATGGCTTTGGTTCCAGTCCAGTGCATTCAGTTTTCACAATTAAAAGATGACTTTAGTTCCTGCTTTTATTTATTCTTGGAGCTTGCTCAAAACCTTTATGATTCATTCATCCTTAGTAAATTAACTGAGAATCATAGACAATAGCAGACTTCCATTGTTGATGGCAATGTCTCATCACCTCCATTTTCCACCCCATTATTCTTTAACAACGTACATGAAGTGATGTGAGTAGTGAAACGCAATACCAAGTCTTCCAGAAATGAATAGATTCTAAAAATCCATTACTTAAATGACTCTGTAAATCGTTGT